ATTTTGTGACTTATCCATGTGAGTAGAAACCACCCCATTCATATCACCCATCATTATGATGTTAGTATAGTCCAGATAGTCCAGCATTATCTCATGCAGCTTCTTGTAAAATTCCGATTTCCCCTCATTTGGTGCATATATTCCTAAAATCAAAAACTTTTCTCCTTGTGTTTGTATCTCAATTGCCAAAATTCTTCCTTGCTCATCTTTAAACAGAAGTTTCGGTGACAGGTTCTCCTTTGCATAAATCACTACGCCTCTTTTCTTGACTTTGTCTGATGAAATAAATTCTTGGCCTAGTCTTTTATTGATTAACACTTTCCTATGGAGCCTAGTCACATGCGTTTCCTGCAAGCAAACAATATCCAGTTGTTCTTTTTTCCGGGGAATTCCCGCCATTTATATTCCAACTGTACAGCTGCAGAGACATTCTGAATCAATCTGTTGTTCCTATAGTGGGGTGTCTTCCTTTTCTTCTGGCCCCGAGGGTGTAGGTATCGGTGCTATTCCCGGCAGTGGCGGTGGCCAGGAGACTGCTGCTCCCTTCTGAAGGTCTTCTCCATGATCGTGCAGGAACTTCTGGTTATCTTCTGATGTTTTAATCTTAATTTTCTTTCCTTTAAAATTAAAAGATAAACCTTGGGAAACTCCCACCTATATGGAATCGCGTTTCCTCTCAGTAGTCTTGCTAAGTCTGTATATGTAGCTCTGAGATCCAAAAGTTGTTTAGGAATATCTCTATAAAGTTCTGCTCTTTTGCCTTGGATATCAAGTGATTTCTTAAAGTGGAGGCCTAGTATTTTATCTCTCTCCTGCTTGGATCTCAAAATAATCAAACAGTCTCTGGGCTTGTCCCTCCTCACGACTCTTCCTAATCTGAACGCAGTTGTAATCTTAAAATCTTTGTCTTCTTCTATACCCCAGAACTTAGAAAATTCTGCTGTCAGATAACCAATTAAATCTTCCTGTTCAAGCTCTGGGATAGCTCTTAATCTCAGGTTATTTTCCCGGTTTCTCAATTCCACCATAGACAGGTAGGCCTGCTGGTCGCTAACGTGCTTGTGTAGTGGCCTTACCTCTTCTTTTATAGCCTCAGCTTTTTGATTTGCTTGTTCTGCTTTTTCATTGGCTGCTTCAGCCAGTCTCCGATTTTCCACAGTTGCTTCCTTGAGATTCCCAATAACTTGTGTATGTTGTGCAACTTGGTCAGATAATTTAGTAATAGAGGATGTGGCTTGGTCTATTTTTGCCGATTGGTCATCCACCTTCTTGTTCAATATTGCAAATTGTTCTAGCATTTGTTTTAAGAAGGTATCCGATCCTCCCACCGCCATATCCTCTGATGCAGGCCGTGCAGTTTCCTTTTCTTGTACTCCCAAAACAGCTGGGACAGATGATCTACGTGACTGAGTAGTCAAAGTTGTTTGCACAAGTTGGGCTTGTCTTGCTTTCGTTTTAGCAGATCTTGTTTTCGGTTGGCCACTCATTCCACACCTGTCTATGAGTCAAGGTCAAATTATATATTGTCCCATGGGAAGGACAGTTCCAAAGTGTAAATAACAAAGCAGCAGATAGTCCAAATAAAATTTGTTCCCAGGCACTTGTAATTCCAGAACTCCACTAGGGGGAGTATTACTGTAGTTCATAGAAAGGAAAGAAATTTATCCGCCATTAAAGTCCCTGCAGCCCCAAAACAGTCTACTTTACCAAAAGTCCTTCATAAACTTTTTTGGCTTGCAGAGCACTTCCCAAGCTGCTACAAAGTCTCAAATAAAAGGTGCCAATAACAGTTTATTTAATTGTATCTTGCCAGTATCACTCAACTGTAACAGTCTCTATTTTGAATACAGTTTCCGCAATGACAGCTCTCTTTTTCTCCTGTCAGTCCGAGGTTTGGTTCTTAATTCTTTATAATCCGTAAAGGGGAGGAAAGTCCCATTTGAAATCCAAAACACTTTGAAATAAAAGTCCCTTCTCCTTCTTTTTAAAAGCCAATTCTGTCAACACGATAGTCCCAAATTTAAAATCTTTTAAAGCTGCTTCCCGCTTGTTAAAATCTTTGCCTTTGATCTTTAAAGCACTGCCGGAAGACGGACTTCCTGTTTATCGTCTCCCGCTTTCAGCCAAATTTAACCCTTTTGGTTCCAAAATGATTGATCCTTACTCACGAGTAGGTAGTTTAGTGCCTGATGTTCCAAGAAGAAAGGTCGGCGCTCATCAGCAGCAGCTGCGCGGCTTCGCTCCCGCAGAAAGAGCGATGAACTCACAGCACCGCTCCCCTTCCACGTTTCCGGAGCCCCTTACGGGGTTCCTTCTTCGTTCTGGGGTCGCTCCTGGTGCCCGCCGAGTCCCACGGCCACGGGCTCACTCTGCCCGTGGTTTTTCTTAATGGGTCACCGCTGTGCCGCAGCGGACGACCCTTTCCTGCGGAGCCCCTCTTCAGAGACCGAAGAGGACCGCCATTGCCGTTTCGCGCCGCCTCCGG